AGCAGAGAACTGCACTGGGGCCCAGTCACAGGCTGACACAGGAGGCCGCGTGGGGGGCGCTGCCCGGGGTCAGGTCGGCAGATCCTGGAAGGGACGGCGAGTGTCAGAATTCAAACCGGCTGCTCCCAGGGAGGGCGAGCCGATGGAGAGCAGATGGGCTGCCATGGGCCTGGGGGTGAGGTTTCTCCTCCGAGGAAGAGAGAGCGGAATGGAGCTCCCCCAGCCCTGTTCTATCGTTACCTTTGCAAACGCCAACACGCTAATTGGCAATTAAGGGAACTAAGAATAGACACTGGCACTGGCTGGCGTCCCAGGCCGAGGCCGCCCCTCCCTCCCCAGAGGGACTTCACATCTGGGGCAAGTCGGACCTAAATGAGAGAGACACAGAGGGGCGGGGGGCTGGGGGGGGCCAGAGAGAGAGATGTTTTGATTTTAGGATCTAAATAAAAATGTTTTTCAAAGGAGCCTTATTGTTTTCCTGAAAACAGGATGTGCCGTTTCCCGCTGTGATGGCACACATCTGGGCATGGGGGTCAGCCCCAGCTCCAGGAGACGCCGTGCGGGCTCTGTCCCCCTGGGGGCATCCGTGCAGGGATCTGGGGTTCGCCCACGCTCTCCAGCCTCCCGGCGCCCAGCCTCTGAGCCGTGTGCAGCCCCAGGGGACCGCTTCCCTCGGGCTTCCCGTTGGGTTTGGCCGCTGGGAGCTTTGGCAGGCGTCCAAGGTGGGAAGGACAGGGATGTGGGGGAGCCCAGTGCACCCCCCTCACTGCTCTGTCTGGCGGCAGCAGCTGGGAGCCCCCTGGGCCTCGTGCCTTCAGGCCTGGGCTGGCGTGGACCACACTGCCCGCTCCCCGTGCCAGGCTGCTCCTCAGTCCCCCCTCCCCCCAGGGCACAGCCTCCCACTTGGTCTTTGTGGAACTTCCTTCCATTGTCCCAGCTGGAATGGACCCTCTGTCCTGGCCAGGCCCCAGGTGGTGGTTCAGGTCACAATTTCAAGCCTTTGGAAGCAACATGGAATTAAACTGCAAAAGTCTAATGGGATGGGAGGCGTCTGTGTCAGAGGCACCTCCAGGCCTGAATCTGGAAGCTGGGAGAGATCTCGGTGCCCGTCCCACGCATGTGAGAGACCTCGGTGCCCGTCCCACGCATGTGAGAGACCTCGGTGCCCCTCCGCACGCGATGGCCTAACGCTCACTGTCTCCTCCCCCCAGTGCGGCACCTCACTCCTCATGGTCGCCTCCTACGCGGGCCACATCGACTGCGTGAGGGAGCTTGTGCTCCAGGGCGCGGACATCAACCTCCAGAGAGAGGTAGGTCAGGTTTTGCACTTGAATGAGAATGACGCCCGGCCCGGGTGGCTCAGTGGTCGGGCATTAACACACAGCCAGTCCGCGAAACCCTTTGAAAACACAGTTTGCTGGGGAGGGTGGCTGAGAGCCTAGCGGGTGAGCCTCCTTAAGAACAGGTCGGTGACAGTCCTTCTGAAAACATAACAATCTCTATGAAAGTGGTGTGAGCTCCAGCATCTCATCCCACAGGAAGAGGGAAGGTCTGACTGCGTGTTGGAGGGATGTGGTTGGAGGCCCGGCTGCCTGAGAAGACGTGTTCAGCTGACATCCAGCCAGTGTCAGCCTGTCACCTGAGTCATTCTTTTTTATAGATGTTTTTATTGATTTTTAAACTATTTTTTTTAATTGTGTAATTGATTTCAGAAAGGAAGGGAGTGGGAGAGAGAGAGAAACATCAATGGGAGAGAAAGAAACATCTATTGGCTGCCTCCTGTACGCCCCCCACTGGGGATCGAGCCAGCAACCCGGGCCTGTGCCCCGACTGGGAAATGAACCGTGACCTCCTGGTTCATAGGTCGGTGCTCACCACTGACCCACACCAGCCGGGCAAGAGTATCTTTAAATGAAAGCTGCCCACATCCGTGGGATGGTCATTTTGCTCAGACTACACAGTGATTTGGGTCCCAGTCTTCGAGTAGGTTTATAGAAATACCTGTGAAGAAAGGATGCTGAAAATTGTGTCTCAAATTGTCATGGATAAGTTTAAAATTGGAACCAGGCTGTTTCTTGTTAACACGTCCTGTGTGGGGAGACACTTGTAGCCGTCGGCGTGGATTATGGGCACGGAGAGCTTTCTGCCCTGGGGCGATGCATGTTGTAACCAGGCCACTGCCCGTGTTCCCGTGTGGACGAGGCCAGTGTTCCCCAGACCACTGCCCGTGTTCCCGTGTGGACGAAGGCCGGCGTTCCCCAGACCACTGCCCGTGTTCCCGTGTGGACGAGCCTGGGTAACATGAGGATGGAAGAGTCCACAAATGTGTTAAACTGAAGGTCTCTATGTCTTGAACAGAAACAATTTTGGAGGAGTGGAGGGATGAGCAAGGGCAGCAAGTGGGGGAGACTCCGTGTGGACGAGGCCGGCGTTCCCCAGACCACTGCCCGTGTTCCCGTGTGGACGAGGCCGGCGTTCCCCAGACCACTGCCCGTGTTCCCGTGTGGACGAGGCCGGCGTTCCCCAGACCACTGCCCGTGTTCCCGTGTGGACGAGGCCGGTGTTCCCCAGATCACTGCCCATGTGGACGAGGCTGGCATTCCCCAGACCACGGCCCGTGTTCCCGTGTGGACGAGGCCGGCGTTCCCCGAATGCTATTCTCAGCATCTCCGCTCCCCTCGGCTGCGGTAGCAAATGACCACAGACCGGGGGCTTAAAGCGACAGAACGTTTGCCCTCAGGTTCTGAAGGGCAGTGTTCCCAGGCCACGCTCCCTCCGCAGGCTCCGGGGCGTATCCTTTGCCTCCTCTCCCGGCCCCCGGCTCCCGGCCCCCGGCCGCTGCTGGCAGTCTCTGACTTGCGGCCCCATCACCAAGTCTCTTCTCTGGGGTCCCATTGCCGGAGCCTCTTCTCGGTTAGACATCGCCCTGCCTCGCTCTGATGGAGGCGCTCACCATTGGATCCGGGGCCGGGGCCGTGCGCCTCCGCTCAGAGCCCTTCGTTAACCGCGTCTTCTCCGGATCAGTCACCTTCACAGGTTCCCGCGAGGAGGATCAGGTCCACCACCCTTCCCACGGGGCCAGGAGTGAGATTCCTTTCGCCTCCTTCCTTCTCTGATCGAAGAGTATGATCAGTTCAAACATGGCCCCTTCCTAGACTAGAAATTTTATGTGCAAGGATGTAGTTTTGTTTGCAAATGTATGAACTAAATGTAACGTAACCAAATGTCTTTCTTTTAATTTTTATTTATGGGGGGGGGGGCGAGAGGGAGAGAGAGAGAGAGAGGAGCACTGACTTGCTGTTCCACTTGCTATGCATCCGTCGGTTGTTTCCCGTAGGCGCCCTGGCTGGGATGGAGCCCGCAAACTGGGACGAGCTCTAACCAGCGCGGCCGGCCAGGGGGCCGCACGTCCTTTAAAACCAGCCTCTCTCCCAGTCAGGCACCACCGCCCTGTTCTTCGCCGCTCAGCAAGGCCACAACGACGTCGTGCGGTTTCTCTTTGAATTTGGAGCCTCCACTGAGTTTAGGACCAAAGTAAGTACACGGCGTCAGGTTCATCCTCATTGGAGACCTCGGCTGTCCGAGCATTCACGCCTCGCCTGTCACGCGAGTCTGTGCGTCCTTCCCTGCGGGACTGTCCAGCTGGGACGGTGGTTTCGCACGGTTCCTTGTCATCGTGCAGGGGCCCCTTCGGGATTCAGTTCAGAACGCGGCATGTTTCTCTCTGGCTCACAACCGGGGGCTTTCGTGAGGAATCGCTTAGACTCTCTTGCACTTGAGCTTTCTGCTCCGAGACACGGACTCTGTTACCAGGACGGGCAGAGCAGCAGGTGCTTGAAACCTTCCCTGTTTCACGGGTTTGTTTCTGCCTCACGGTTAGTCCCAGGGTGGTGGTGGGAGAGGGGAGGTAGGAAGCGACCCTAGTGAATCCGGCAGGTGGTTTGCCTCTGCGATGCCGCGCTGAGATGGCGTGAAATATATGATTGCAGTTTACGTGGTTGGGCAGGAGAAGTTACTTACTGTTCGCCGTGGGCACGCGGATAAGAGAGCTGAGAGCAGGTCGTCAGCTTTGCGTTCACAGTGCACTCGAGTGTGAGGGATCGTACTTTGTAGCAGGAGGAGTTGAACTTCCAGGACGTTTGTTGTAATTGTCAGCTTATTTCTGGTCGAGTCATAACAAGAAATTCCTGAAAATTTGCCCCAGTTGGAAACTTGTAGGTTTTCTTAATTCACTGGACTTGATATTTCAATATCCAGGGAGTTTCCGCTGGGCTTTCCCTATTAAGATGGTCAAACACGGAGATCTGAGTGTCAGGTCTCTGTCTTTCCTGAAACCTGGCGTCGGCCTGCGTCCAGGTTCCAAACGTGCTGAATAGGGCGAACAGAACATGTGTGTGCGCATATTGGTATGTTAATTGTCATCTTATTTTTCACTGTAAAAGTAATGAAACTAAACGCAGAAAGCGAAATTTTACAAGCGTGAACCTCAGCTCGTTGAACTGTCTCAGAACGGCCCTGAGTGGCCATGTGGCCGCCTCGGTCCTCCTGGTCGGCAAGTTGGTGCCGGCGTAAAGTCTTGTGCAGGGGCCGGTTCGTGCTGCCCAGGGGCCGGGGAAACTGGGCCCTGGGGGGCGTTCCTGGGTCCCCACTAGGTCAGCTGGGTTGTCCACGAGCTCCCCACGGGGAGGAGTGATGTCGGGGGCTTTGAGTTTTATAGGATCCGGGCATGAAGACTGACTTGTGTCAACAGTTGTTCTCATCGTTATTAAACCTATTTGCCCCAAAATGTGTTTTTAAAAAATAAATGGTATCAGCTCTCCTAGGTCAGCCACCCTGTCTCATCTGTTCTCTAAATTCCTGTGGCAAAGAGCTGAGAAAATGGACAGAGCAAAACTGGGAAACATGGGTGCTCAGGGCTGCTATTAAGCAGTTTTCTGATTCCCCTTCCCTCAGCCCGGCCCTGGCTGAAGCCTCAGCAGCCACACGCGTCCCCTGGGAACCCAGCTCTTGCGGCAGCTTCTCCACGTGAGGCCCACCCACCACCTGCTCACCACAGTCCCCTGACGCGACCGGACAAAGGCCAGTTTCTGGCCTCAGCCTGGACCTGCTGAGTCTGAGGACGGGGCCCCGAAGGTGGCATTTGGGAAAAACACTCTGTGCCCCATTAGAAACCACACTCTCATGTTTGTGATCCGCATGTTAGAAGCAGATGCCATGTTGTTCATTATTTATAATTAAGCTCACATGCCCACATAGCAATTCACAGAGCCAAGCGGACCACAGCCCTAGACGGGAAAAGGGAGCGCGTTCGCCTCAGCACCTGAGAAAACCCATTCAGGGCTTCTGCCGACCACAGACGCGGGGAGTCAGGGGTGCGAGGTGGTCGGCCCAAAAGCCAGTTCTCACTGAGCTGCAGAAACGAAGGAGTCGTCCCTGTCAAGAGGGTCTCTGGCCGGATGCCCGGGAGGCTGTCCTGTTTCTTCCACGACGGACTGGCTGCTGCCGGCGTCCTGTTCTCCTCCCTCGGTGGAGAGGCGGGTCGGTGGGTCTCCTTGGACCCGGGAAATGTCTGCTTTTGTTTTTGACCCCAGCGGGCAGGCAGTGTGGTGATAGTCTCAGGGGTCTGACGTAGTGACCGGACATCTAGTAGCTGACAGAGTGATCACGTCGGTGAGTCTGCTAGGCCCGGGGCATTTCTGAATTAATCGCAAGGACTCGGTCAGACAACTGCCAGAGATCGCAGGCAGGTCTTCCGAGAGTCCAGCATGAGGACGTCCTTGAGATGAACCCTGTCACGGTCACAGGAGAATGGGAAGGGGCCCTGGCCAGTTTGGTTCAGTGGATGGAGCGTCGGCCCGCGGACTGAAGGGATCCAGGGTTCGATTCCTGTCAAGGGCACGTACCTGGATTGCAGGTTCCGCAGCCCTGGTTGGGGTGTATGCAGGAGGCAACCAATCGATGTGTCTCTTCCACATCGATGTTTCTCTCTGTCTCTCCCCCTCCCTTCCACGCTCTCTAAAAATCCATGGGAAAATATCCCTGGGTGAGGACTAACCAAAGAGAATAAAAAAGAGAACGGGAAGGGGCCAAAGAGGAAAGGTGGGTTTGGTATCGTCTATGGAGAGTTCTTCTCCAAAGTTCTAAAGTGTGTGCTTTGCGTGCCCGCAGGACGGGGGCACTGCCCTGCTCGCTGCCAGCCAGTACGGGCACAGGCAGGTGGTGGACACCCTCCTGAAGCACGGTGCCAACGTCCACGACCAGCTCTATGTGAGTGTTTCCGGGACCTCGCTCCCCCTCATCACACCTGCCCTCACAGCCTGGACTTGGCAGCCAGAGTGGCAGTTCCAAGAATAGTTTCATGGACAATAGGCCTTTTGTCTGAGACAGCAAGGAACAAAATACAGTTTACCAGATGACCCTTTCTGTGTAGAAACCACGTAACTGTAATTACCCATCTTCGTCTTGCCCTTTTAAATCTCTCACACGTGTAGCAGCTCATGTACCTGTGCAATTAGGATCTTCGACAATCATGTGACACATACTCATTGGTAACGTGACAAGCCCAGCCTATGGACTTACTGGAAACCAAAACACATTCTGTTGTGGGTTTATTTGGGAACAAGAGCACAAAAAAGGAGAAATCAGGTTATTTGTCCCTGCTGGTGTGGCTCAGTAGTTGAGCATTGACCTATGAACCAGGAGGTCATGGTTCAAGGTCATGGTTTGATTTCTGGTCGGGACACATGTCCGGATTTCAGGCTTTATCCCCAGTATTGGGCGTGCACGATGCAGCTGATCAGTGATTCTCTGTCATCATTGATGCTTCCATCTCTTTCTTCCTCTCCCTCTCTGCAGTCAAGAAAATATCTTTTTTTAAAAAGAACTCGGGTTATTTGGAAAAGAGGTGAGGCTGATGGAGGGAAACCCGGCCCTTTGAAAGGCAGCCCCAGCTGTGCTGTCCTGTTGGTGGCTGATCGGCAGTCAGCACATCACCCAGGCTCTCATCAGTGATTGTCATTGTGGTTCCACAGGGTTTATGGCAAATGTGATTTCAGTTTTGTAGGAAAAAATAAAACGCGGGGAGAGGAAGTGGGTGAGCATGGTCGTGGGGAGTGGAAGGATCCGTATCCCGTGACCTAGGACCGCCCTTTGGCCATCCCCCCACGAGCCACCTCGCCCTCAGGCCCGGCACCACGTCCTCTCCTAGGCGTGTGATGAGCGTGTAGGTGTGGACTTTTCCATTGGAACACCCTCCCGGCGTCGGCACGGTTAACTCCCGGCACCGCCCGTGGCTGGACTCGCGGGAAGGGTGCTGTGCGTTTTAACCTGTGGCTGGTGTCCCTGGCGGGAGGGAGGTAGTGAGCTGGGTGAGCAGTGGTTGAGCGTCCTATGAGCCAGGAGGTCACAGTTTGATTCCTCGTTGGGGCTCCTGCCCGGGTTGTGGGCTCCATCCCCAGTCGGGGGCGTGCAGGAGGCAGCAGATCCATGATTTCCTGTCATCACTGATGTTTCTATCTCCCTCTCCCTGCCTCTCTGAAATAAATAAAAATATTTTTTAAATACAATAAAATAAAAAGGGGGTGGTCTCAGCTCATGTAACAAAAGCAGAGAGCAGCCAGTGAAAGTCCGTGCAGACGAGAAGAGGGGGTGCTGTGAGTCGGGGAAACTTGGAGGCGACTCGGCTCAATGTGTCAGCTCTGGGATCGGGACCTCATGGAGTCGTCATAGACGTGACAGCTCCCCCTCCTGAAGCTGTCTGTTCTGAACTTTACCTGTCAGCCTGGCTCAGCGTGATCTTTCAGAATCATTCTTCAAAGAATAAAGCGCTAACCATGCATGTGAAAAGGGGGCGTGGCAATGGAAAAATGTATTCAATGCATGTATTTCAAAGGTCATTTCTTTTCAAGTAAATGTGGAAGGTGACCTCTGCACTTTCCGTTGCTGCCCCTCAGGATGGAGCCACGGCCCTCTTCCTGGCTGCCCAGGGCGGCTACTTGGATGTCACTCGGCTGTTGCTGTCGTCGGGAGCAAGAGTCAACCAGCCGAGGCAGGTAATGTCGGGGTGCACGGGGCAGGGCGGGGGGCCAGCTCCTGGCAGCAGCGTTACCTAAGCGACCGGTCACCTCTGGGTGCCTTACACCCCTGGCTTCCGTGGCACAGTTCATCTGCGGTCAGGGCTTCCCTGTTCTTCGCTCTGGGCTCACCCGGAACCAGGCTGACATCACCGCTGTTTAAACTTGTTGGTGCCTGAGGTCAGGGACACAGTCTGCCGCCTCCTGTGCAGAGAAACTCCGGCGGCTCCGCGGTCGTCAGAGAAGGCTGCCTGGACGCAGGTGGACGGAGGCGACAGGTAGCTGGCCCTGCCCAGGCCCTCGCTGAGGTGCTGCCTCTCCCCATCCCTCACGGCTTCCGCCAGCCAAGGAGGGGCCCAGTGCGGTCACCGGCAGGTCCGCACCCCCATCTCTCATGATTGCAATGCAATTGAGACTTCATTTGCCAACAGCTGGTAAACCAACTACTTGATTCGTAAAGGAAAAGAACTGCCAGGTAATGCAGGCCTCGCTCTAAGGGTGGGGAGACCCATCCAAAGTGAGGCATTGTAACTAGGGCTCTTGTATGGGAACTGTTCCCTCACTAATTAACTTGTTTTTAACAAAACACTTCCGGGTGCAGTGATGTGACTTTAAAGGTAGATGTCTAGGCAGTGGTCAGCAAACTGCGGCTCGGCAAACGGTAGCTCGCGAGCCACACGTGGTTCTTTGGCCCCTTGAATGTGGCTCTTCCACAAAATACCGACTTCTGCGCATGGGCCACAAAGTTTCAATCGCACTGTACGTGTGCGCCCGCACATGGTATTATGTGGAAGAGCCACACTCCAGGGGCCAAAGAGCCACATGTGGCTCGCGAGCCCCGGTTTGCCGACCACGGGCCTAGGGGAAAGTCAAGCCGGTTTTTTTGCAGTAAGTGGCGCCACGATTCCCACCGCGGTGAGACCTGCCTTGACAAGCCTGTAGGTGCACGTGGTGAAGAGCTGTGGGAGCCTTCAGGTTGGTCCGAGGTCTCCACCACCGGCTTCTTCCGTCCTGAGACGTCCAAGTGCATTCGGACCTGAGAAAAGAAAGGGGCTTTGGGCAAAGGGGGTCCGAGGTCAGGAATCCTGGTTCCAGACCCGGCTCTGCAGCAGCTGTCAGTGTGGTTTGGACAAGTGAACCGACCTCTGGGACCGCTCGTCCCTCAGGAGGCTGCGATGTAGGAGGCTGGGTGGGACGATGCTGGTGATCTCTCCAAGCGCCCGGTCTTTTTTTTAGTAAATTTTCTTTTTTTTAAATTGGTTTTGCGGGGGAGGCATCAATGTGATAAATATCAATTGGTTGCCTCTTCCACATGCACCGACTGGGGATCGAACCCACAACCTGGGTATGTTCCCTAACTGGGAATTGAGCCCACCACCTGTTGGTATATGGGATGATGCTCCAACCAACGGAGCCACACCGGCCAGGGCACAAGCTCCCCAATTTTTATAACTGTTTTCTTCAGTGTTCAGCCAGTATTGCTTGGGAACTTAACATGTGCCAGACACTGCTATAAATGTGAGATTATATTTTCAGAATCTTAAAGATATTCTTGGCTTAGATGGCCTCAGGAATATTTCTGGGAAAGGACAGTTTTAGAAAAAGTTGCATTTCCATTTCTGCCAGAGCTGACATCTGGGGATTGGAGTTTAATATTCTCTTGCTGGTCCTTCTTATGTTGAGATGGTTGGTTGATTCTGAGTCAGAGGCCTGATTTTACTAAATAAAAAGGGGTGTTACTTCCGGGTTGCAGAGGTCATCACTGAGAGTACCTGTGAACCTAGAAATGAGAGATGATCAAGTCTCTCTTTGAACCTCCTTCTAAAATAATTTCTGGTGTTTTGACAAATCTATTTGTAAAGTAAATTACATTATTCACACGCCCAAGGCACCGTTTGTAAAAGCCCAGTTGGTATGAGGTGATACTTCATGTGTTGCAGGGATTGTGTCGTGTGCTGATGGCACGGGAACCCTGGCGTTAGGAGTGACCCCCCCCCCCGTAGCTGGGGCAGCCAGGGCTCCCCAGAAGGGAGGTGACGGGTCCAGTGGACGACCTCGCTGAAGAGGGGAGGGCTGGGGTCAAAGGGCAAGCGACCTGCCCTCCAAGGATTGTGTCCGATGTGACCGGCATTGTGAGTCCCGCTCTGAAAAGAACCGGGTGTTCATAGACAGGGATTGCCTTGGGGGACAGAATTTTCCCTTTTCCTGGGACACTCACCCCAGTCTGCCCTCGGTGCCCCTCAGGTAACCACTGCGCCTGTTTGCTGCCTGCCGGGAGCTTATAAATGGAAGGTTGTCAGCCAGGTCAGCCGGCCCCGCCCTGTCTTCCCACCGGGAATGTCCGTCAGTCCGTGAGGCTCACAGTTTCTAGGAGGGACACAGAGGCTCAGCCGGAAAGGGTGGCCTCCACCCCATGGCCCTGGCGATGAGGTGACGGCTGTGAGCGTTACTGTTAACAGTGACTTTCAGCGCTTCTCTAAGTATTGGTGTCAATTCACAGCATTTTACTCAAAACAGCCCTTCCAAAGCATCAGAGGCCCCTGACGGCCTTTCCTTGGCTGCCCTCTGGTGGCGACATCCACAAAGAACAAGGAACCCCGAGCGGATAAGGAGGGAGAAGGGCACCAGCAGGGAAGACTGGAACCCTCCCAGTCCCACCCACGCCCCTCGGGCCCCGCCCACCCTGCCTGACCCAGCCCCTCCTGCCCAGGTCACTGGGACCGGAACTGTTCCATCTCCATGGGTTCCCTTGTCCCTTCACCCCCCTGACAAAACCCTAGTCCTCCTTCAAGACCCAGCTCAGACGCCAGCGCCCCCCTGGGAGCTGACCCGTCACCCGCGGTGAGAGGCCCTCTCCTGGTTCACGGGGCTCTGCGTCCACACTTTACTGGAGCCCTGAGGTCAGACTCAGATCCCGTCGCCTCTCCGCTGGCTTAGCTCCTGTCAGAGCAGGGATCACGTCTTGTTTTTAAATATGTTTTACTGATTTCAGAGAGGAAGGGAGAGAGAGGTGGAAGCATCAGTGATGGGAGAGAGTCATTGATCGGCTGCCTCCTGCACGCCCCACCCTGGGGATGGCGCCCACAACCCGGGCCTGTGCCCCGACCGGAATCAAACCGTGACCTCCTGGTTCATAGGTCGCTCCACGGGGCCGTCACGTCTTATTTTTAGCTCTGGCTGCCGGAGACTCGGAAGATGCTTAATAATTGCCGGGTGCTTGAATGAGTGAATGAATGGTTCTCCTGAGTTGGGAGAATCCAATTAAATAATGGATGGAGAAGCGCTTTGTGAACTGAGAGTACCAATCGAGGATGTGTCTGCATTGCTAATGATGCACAGTGGGCAGATTGAAGGGTGGAGTAGGCGAGGCATTTCAGATCCTTCCCCCCATCTCAGCCCCTCTTCCCCACGTCTCTGCAAGAACAGAGGTGCCGTGTCCCCGTACTCAGCACCCTCGGGTCCTCTGGGCTCCGACGTGCCCTCGTCCTCCACCCGTTCCAACACCATTGTCCCCGGCCCTTTGCCGGACAGCAGTGGGCGGCAGTCTGTGCTGTGAGTAGCAGAGCGGAGCGAAGTCACATCCTCAGCAGAAAACGACCTGTGTGTCCTGTAGCTGAATCATCGTGCTCTCGGCCCGCGCCCCCACGGATGAGGAATTCGGTCTCAGCTGACCAGCAGCCTCTTTGGGCCACATTATCTTAGTTCCCTCCGTTTAGGCAGTTCTGGGCCCTCCTCCCTCGTGCCCTTCTCTCCAGAGCGACCTACGTTCTCAGAGGTCAGTGGCCCTGGCATTGAGGTGGGGGGTCTCCTCCCTGTGCTGCTTGTCCAGCCGGCTGGTCCCTGAGCTTCCGCGCTGGTGACTGAGACACGCTGGTTCCACCACCTACGGCCCTGCCATCCTCTCTGCCGGTGAAATCATGATGCGTGTGGCTGCTGTGTGGACACCGTGTGGCTGCCGTGTGGACGCTGTGTGGCTGCCGTGTGGCCGTCGTGTGGCTGCTGTGTGGACGCCGTGTGGACGCCGTGTGGTCGTCGTGTGGAAGCCGTGTGGATGCTGTGTGGATGCCGTGTGGACGCCATGTAGACACCAGGTAGCTGCCGTGTGGATGCCGTGTGGAAGCCGTGTAGACACCATGTGGCTGCCATGTGGACACCGTGTGGTCCTCTCGCTGCA